ATCTCGACATATAAGGACCCTACCCCCAATCTCAATATATAGCACATTGCAGAGTCCTCATAGTACAGAATAGCAAACACCAGCTGTTCTTTTTAACCCATTAGACAGCAATACCTTAAAATGTATTTGAATAGGAAAATATAGAATATGCAATATTCTACACTCTGTCTACCCCTCCCTCTGTTACCAGTCACCCCCGTTTCAGTCCCCCCTTACCTCAGTCACCCTGTCATCCCCTCCCTCAGTCACTCTGTCACCAGTCAACCCCTCCCTCAGTCACCCTGTCACCCGATCCCTCAGTCACTCTGTCATCTCCTCCCTCAGTCACTCTGTCACCAGTCACCCCTTCCCTCAGTCACCCTCCCTCAGTCACGCTGCCACCAGTAACTTTGTCACCCCCTCCCTCAGTCACTCTGTCACCAGTCACCCCCTCCTTAGGTCACTCTGCTACCCCCTCACTCTGCCACCTGTCATCCCTTCACTCTGCCACCTGCCAACCCCTCACTCTGCCATCTGTCAATCCCTCCCTCCCACGCTCTGTCACCTTCTCCCTCCCACACTCTGCCACCTGTCCCTCCACACTCACTCTGCCAACCCTTCACTCTGCCATCCCTATCCCACCCACACTATGTGCCCTACAATGCCCTACACACACTACGTCCCTATCCCACCCCACACTATGTGTCTTACCTGTACTACATCCCCATCATCACACTCTGTGCCCTACACCAGGTCTGTCTCCTAAATTACTATCAATTGTTTCCACCCGTGACATATAACACCCACCCCTGCCATATAAGACCATATACTCACCACCTCACCTGCACTCAATCCACCTTGTGTACTGGCACACACTGTCATAATATCCACCACACAGTCCCACCCTGCCATATACCTTTCTCCTGCTAGTAATACTCACCCACTTACATATACCTCCACGTTGTCACATTTCCCCATGCAATATCACACACTAAGTCCCAGGCACATACAACTGTTCCCCCACTGTCATATAGACACATTATACACAGGCTCAAATTCACAGATTACATATGCAGTCACACACATTGCATATACATAGGCTGTCACAAACATACATTTTCACACAAGGGGCTAGGACAGATATATACTGGGAGGCTGTGAGATTAAACATTTTTTATGGACCATATAGGAGTTTGTGCGTGCCCTGCAGTAAGCCGGCAGCCGGGATATGATGACATCCTGGCATTGCCATCACTACTGGTCGTGCGAGTGAGCTGTGCAGGAAGAGTTCAGAGATCCCAGTCCAGCAGCAACCGCTAGACTAGTCACCAGGGGGATGATCCACTACAGCCCTCCCAGAGCAAGGTAGGGAGGTTGGTTGGACCTCTTTATAACTAAATGTGTGTGTATATCTGTGGTTGTGTATGTGTTTAGTAGATGGTTCCCTATTTTGTTGTCCTTAAATATGTCAATCCCACATAAGGATAACAAATAAGTGAGTTATCTACTAAACAACTGAAAGATTAAAATTAAGAAAAAGGCTTTTTACATTTTTATCTTTTTGCTGTTTAGTAGATAATTCTCTAAATTGGTGCCCTTATGTGAGATCCCATGTTTAAAGATACCAAATTAGGGTGCCGTTTAGCAGATAGCTCCCTTATTTTGTGTCCTTAAATATGGCAATGCCACATAAGGATGACAAATAGGGGAGTTATCCAATAAACAAAGATCAAAGTTAAATAAAAAATTAAAAACGACCAGTGTTTGATATCGCTTGAAGCAGTCCCCAATGCAGAGTCCAGGCTGTCCAGGGCAAAAAGGACAGTAAAAGACGGTGTCCTTTCTCTGCCCCCTCTTGAAACAGACTCTGCATATTTTTTGAGGATTCTGCTTTGTCGCAGTAGGGGGGGATTTTAAAAATAAAGTGGGTAGCCCCAACTCTACTCTGTCCAATCACCACCCGGGGAGCAGCTGCATCTTGGTACAAAATCCAGTAAATGATCTGGAGCTGAAACTGTAAAAAAGCCAGTTTCATTCTGGAGTTTGCTTTTTTGAACAACAAAAAAGCATTGTGCGTTGCAATCTGCATTAAGTAAATTGCAACCTTTTTGTACCAGGCCCTTGTCTTCCGTATAATTAGGTAGGGCTGCAATGTGAGATTGAAAATACACTGCAATACTGGTGCTGGCCAGTAGGTGGCACTGTGGATGGTTAGATTGGGATAGGAAGTTACATCTTATCTCAGCTTCTCTCTCCTGACTGAAACCCCTGGGGAGCAGCATAGAGTGCAAGCCAGCAACTCCTAGACTGCAGAGGCAGCCTACAGATCAGGTAAGTGAGGGATGGGGGCATGAGCCTATAGATATGGGAAGTGAGGCATGGGGGGCAGCCTATAGATAAGGGAAGTGAGGCATGGGGGGCAGCCTGTAGATCAGGGAAGTGAGGCATGGGGGGCAGCCTATAGATCAGGGAAGTGAGGCATGGGAGGACAGCCTATAGATCAGGGAAGTGAGGCATGGGAGGACAGCCTATAGATCAGGGAAGTGAGGCATGGGGTGGGGCAGCCTATAGATCAGGGAAGTGAGGCATGGGGGGCAGCCTACAGATCAGGGATGTGAGGCATAGGGAAGTGAGGCATGGGGGGGGCAGCCTATAGAGCAAGGAAGTGAGGGATGGGGGGATCCACCTACAGATCAGGTAAGTTAGAGATGGGGGATCCACCTACAGATCAGGTAAGTTTGAGATAGGGGGAACCACCTACAGATCAGGTAAATGAGGGATGGGGAGGCAGCCTATAGATCAGGTAAGTAAGGGATGGGGGAGACAGCCTACAGGAAGGGTCAGCAAGGAGCACTGATTCTGTCAGTGTTTTGATCTGTTCACCATCAACATTGCGTGCAGCAGCAACCACAGCCTCCCAGATACTGTTCAGAGAGGTGTACTGTTTTCCCTCCTTGTAAATCTCACATTTGATGATGGACCACAGGTTCTCAATGGGGTTCAGATCAGGTGAACAAGGAGGCCATGTCATTAGATTTTCTTCTTTTATACCCTTTCTTGCCAGCCACACTGTGGAGTACTTGGATGCGTGCAGGCCCGGACTGGCCATCGGGCATACCGGGCAAATGCCCAGTGGGCCGCGATGGCCGTGGGGCCGAGGCCGGCAGGGAGATCACAGGATCTCCCCGGCCGGCCCCTGCAGGGCCAGCGCTACCCGAGCACCGGCCCTGCTGTGTGCCTCCATGGGCCGGTGGGGAGATCTAAGATCTCCCTTTACCGGCCCAGAGACACTTCCAGGCGGCCGCTTGCTGGGGTGTGAGGGAGGGAGGAGAGGACCGGCGGAGCTCTAACCAGCAGCTCCGCCGGTCCTCTCGCGGGATTCTGAGCATTGCCGCGGCAACGCTCAGATCTCGCGAGAGTGAACTCTAGCCTACAGGCTAGAGTTCACGCTCACCACTAGGACCACCAGGGATCAGGCAGCATGGCTCTCCCATGGCAGAACGGCTCCCTCCCGTCCCAGGCAAAACGGTTCCCCCCCCTCCCAGGCTAAAGGTAAGAAGGGAGGGGGGGATATAACTTTTTTTTAAATTATTATTATTAATAAAAAAAAAAATTAAATTAAAAAATCACACACACACATCACCCCCAGACACAAACATCACCCCCAGACACACACAGCACCCCAGACATTCACATCACCCCCAGACACACACAGCACCCCCAGACACACACAGCACCCCAGACACACACAGCACCCCAGACATTCACATCACCCCCAGACACACACATCACCCCCAGACACACACAGCACGCCCCAGACACACACAGCACCCCAGACACACAGCACCCCAGACACACACCCCAGACATTCACATCACCCCCCAGACACAGCACCCCCAGACACACACAGCACCCCCAGACACACACACCCCAGACACACAGCACCCCCAGACATCACATCACCCCAGACATACACAGCACCCAGACACACACAGTACCCCCAGACACACACAGTACCCCCAGACACACACACAACCCCAGACACACACAGTACCCCCAGACACACACATCACCCCCAGACACACACAGCACCCCAGACACACACAGCACCCAGACACACACAGCACACAGCACAGACAGCAGCCAGACACACACAGCACCCCCAGACACACACAGCACCACCAGACACACACAGCACCCAGACACACACAGCGCACCCAGACACACACAGCCCACTCAGGCACACAGCACCCTCACTCACACACAGCACCCTCAGACAGACAGCACCCTCGCTCACACACACACATATATATATGTGTGTATGTATGTGTATGTATATATATATATATACACACACACACACTACAGCACTACATACATTACGCTCCAGATACACGCTTGATCCCTTACCTTATATGCACTCTTAATCCTCTATACACACACACATACACAATCTCCTATACACACTCTGGGTCCTTTACACACTAGATCTCCTACACACACACTGCACCACCTACACACACACTACATTCCTTGTCAGCAAACACATACAACATTCTCTAAACACACCCTCTCTACAACCCCTACACACACTACGTCACCTATACACACACACTACAGCCCGTATGCACACACTCGCTACATCCCCTATAACACTATGCCCCCTATACACACACTCTCTACAGCCCCTAGCCACACATATTACACCACAAACACAAATGAAATTGACCTATTTGCACAATACCACACTCTACACACACGCAATCCCACATGCAGGCTCCAAACACATGCACCATACACTTTCCTGGTCCTTTTGTCCTCTGGTATCCCACTTGTTGAGACACCAGAGACAATTTAAAAGCAAACACAGCGCAAGCATGTTATTAAATTTGCTTGCGCTGCGCAGAACAAATACAGGGCCTTTTTCTAATGCCAGAGCTCTTCAGCGCAGCTCTGCGCATTGAACCAACATGCTCACTTTGAGAGGAGGCGTGCTTGTCATTAGTGATGACAAAACACACCCTCTCTTTCCCCGCCCCCTTCTTAGGGGGCCGCTCTGATTGAAAAATGTCCGGGCCTAATTTTTTTCCCAGTCCGGCCCTGGACGCATGTGATGGAGCATTGTCCTGCATGAAAATCATGTTTTTCTTGAAGGATGCAGACTTCTTCCTGTACCACTGCTTGAAGAAGGTGTCCTCCAGGAACTGGCAGTAGGACTGGGAGTTGAGCTTGACTCCATCCTCAACCCGAAAAGGCCCCACAAGCTCATCTTTGATGATACCAGCCCAAACCAGTACTCCACCTCCACCTTGCTGGCATCTGAGTCGGACTGAAGCTCTCTGCCCTTTACCAATCCAGCCACGGGCCCATCCATCTGGCCCATCAAGACTCACTCTCATTTCATCAGTCCATAAAACCCAGTCTTGATGTTTCAGCTTGTGTGTCTTGTTCAGTGGTGGTCGTCTTTCAGTCTTTCTTACCTTGGCCATGTCTCTGAGTATTGCACACCTTGTGCTTTTGGGCACTCCAGTGATGTTGCAGCTCTGAAATATGGCCAAACTGGTGGCAAGTGGCATCGTGGCAGCTGCACGCTTGACTTTTCTCAGTTCATGGGCAGTTATTTTGCGCCTTTGGTTTTTCCACACGCTTCTTGCGACCCTGTTGACTATTTTGAATGAAATGCTTGATTGTTCGATGATCACGCTTCAGAAGCTTTGCAATTTTAAGAGTGCTGCATCCCTCTGCAAGATATCTCACTATTTTTGACTTTTCTGAGCCTGTCAAGTCCTTCTTTTGACCCATTTTGCCAAAGGAAAGGAAGTTGCCTAATAATTATGCACACCTGATATAGGGTGTTGATGTCATTAGACCACACCCCTTCTCATTACAGAGATGCACATCACCTAATATGCTTAATTGGTAGTAGGCTTTCGAGCCTATACAGCTTGGAGTAAGACAACATGCATAAAGAGGATGATGTGGTCAAAATACTCATTTGCCTAATAATTCTGCACTCCCTGTATGTTTATATATCAACAATAGAATAATCAATGTATTTGTTCTTGTAGCCAGGGCCGGACTGGGAGAAAAATTCAGCCCGGGCATTTTTTTAACACAGCGGCCCACTAAAAAGGGGACGGGGCAGAGGAGGTGTGTTTTGTCATCACCAATGACAAACACGCCTCCTCTCAAAGTAGGCATGTTGGTTCAATGCTCTTCCAGGGCAGACCATGCGCAGAGCTCTGCTGAAGAGCTCTAGCATGAGAAAAAAGTCCTGTATTTGTTCTGCACAGTGCAAGCAAATTTAATAACATGCTTGCACTGTGTTTCCTTGCAACTTGTCTCTGGTGTCTCTATAAATGGATACCAGGAGACAAAAGGCCAGGAAAGAGTATTGTGCATGTGTTTGGAGCCTGCTTGTGGTATTGCGTGTGTGTAGAGTGAGCTGGTCGTGGTGTGGTATTGTGTAATAAGGTCGGTTTTAGTCGTGTTGTGTTTGTGGTGTAATGTGATGCATATGTGGCTCAGGGACCCCCTCCCGCCCGGCTCTGGAAAGGGGTTAAAACTTACCTTTTTCCAGCGCCGGGCGGGGAGCTCTCCTCCTCCGAACCGCCCCGTCGGCTGGCTGCGCGCGCATTCAGCCGGTCGCATAGGAAAGCATTTGTAATGCTTTCCTATGGACGCTTGCGTGCTCTCACTGTGATTTTCTCTGAAACTGCTATGTTTATAAAACAATGGGTTAATCCTAGAGGGACCAGGCACCAAGACCACTTCATTAAGCTGAAGTGGTCTGGGTGGCTAGAGTGGTCCTTTAAGAGTGTAGTGTGTGTGTGTGTGTGTGTGTGTGTATATATATATATATGGAAGTATTGTGTATGTGTGTGGTGCAGTGTGTTGGGGGGGTTCTGTGTGTATGTGAGGGGTGCAGTATGTGCGTGTGTGAGGGGTGCGGTGTGTGTGAGAGAGTGCTGTGTGAGAGAGTGCTGTGTGTGTGTGAGAGTGCTGTGAGTGTGATGGGTGTGAGAGTGCTGTGAGTGTGATGGGTGTGAGAGTGCTGTGAGAGAGTGCTGTGTGTGTGAAAGTGCTGTGTGTGATGGGTGTGAGAGTGCTGTGTGAGAGAGTGCTGTGTGTGATGGGTGTGAGAGTAGGGGGGGTAAATAAAAAATAAAAAGTCATTATTTCCCCCCCCTCCCCTCTTACCTTTAGCCTGGGAGGGGGGGTCCGGCACGCTGGGAGGCAGTGTTCCCTGGTGGTCCTCGTGGGTGAGTGAACTCTCGCGAGATCCGGTCGTTGCCATGGCAACGCGCCGGATCTCGCGAGAGGAACCCGGCGGAGCTGCAAGTTAGAGCTCCGCCGGGTCCTCTCTCCAGCCTGGCTCCCGACCTCCCCGCCGGCGGCCGGATGTGGGCCGGTCAGGGAGACCGGCCCGTCGTGGCAAACAGCGGGGCCGGCGCTAGGAGAGTGCCGGCCCTGCATAGACCGGCAGGGGAGATCCTGGGAGCTCCCCTGCCGGCCTCAGCCCCACGGACACCGCGGCCCACCGGGCATTTGCCCGGTGTGCCCGATGGCCAGTCCGGGCCTGCTTGTAGCTAATACATTCTGAGTCATTAGGAGTGGCAGACGAGAAATATACAGGTATATTTACATATAAATGATACTGGACTTTCCGTAACTATAGCCTAAAAAAGAAAACCCGTCTAGCATGTTTGTAATAACCGGAGTGGAAGTTGAGGCAAAATTTTGAACAGTACAAACTGTTTATTTCCCCAACCATTCAATGGTGGCAGGCCCCAGCCTCTTTCCTCAACTTAGATATTCTCCCTCGCCAAGAGTTACATCAGACTAGGAGGTTTGGGCTAGAAGGAGAACTTGGACTCTGTGATGGAACAGAGGCAATTTTAGCATGTATTTATTTATTTTTTACTTGGGGTCAGACCACCTCATAAAGGGTTACTATAAACAAAACCAGTGTTTTATAAAAATGCTGGTTTTAGTTTGGAGTAGCTCTTTCACCCAAAAAATGATCTGCTATTTAGGAGTTAAATTATGCAGCCCTAGTCACACCTCACTGCTTGTAACTTACACAGCTTTTCTAAACACTTTCTGTAAAAAGAAATCTGTTAAAATTAGATTTTCTTATCTTATGTTCTGTTAATAACTTTTAAGATCCTGCAGAAGCCTCCTGTGTGTGATTAAAGTTCTATTTACAGAGCAGGAGTAAAAAACTTCTAATTCAAGTAAACATCTGATTACAATTTAAACCATTTTTTTATACAGTCACAGAGAGAGGATGTGTTGATAGGGCTGCATAAACAGATGCAAAAGCGATTTAAGTCATAAATGGCGAAGCATTGAGCAGTTAGACTGCAGGGGCATCATCTGTACACCTGCTTAATTAAGCTAAAGTTATTTTAATGCCTATAGTGTCCCTTTAAGTGAGAAATTTGCTTTGAGTACTCACTCAACTCGTTTGGTTTTTCATATTTTTCAGTCTTTTGCAAAAGTTGGTTAATTTAACTTGCTATGCTCATGATGGAATTTTGTATAATCACACGGATAGAAGTGCATTAAGAGTAAAAAAAAAAGTAAAAAATAGGGCTACCATACAAGTGTTTCAATAACTAAAAATATTGGGCAGGAAAACCGACCCTAAAAAGTGGAGACAGAGGAAAAGATAGAAAGATATAGTGCACAAGCAGGAGATCTTTTACTGGTAAAGAAAAGCCCCCATAAAAGCTAGAGAGAAGAAAAATGAATAATAGTAGAAATATAAAATGTACACGTACCAGGAGATCTCTTACTAATGAGTACAAATGAAGGAAATAGAGAGATCTAAATTATCTCAAATGTGTGCTATAATAGCTATAAATAGTAAACCTAGAATTATACAGAATAGAATGTACTATGTACACATACACTAGATGGCAGTCTAACACAGAAGGAAAGCAGTACTAAGGGTTCGCAAATAGTGATGTCGCGAACATAAAATTTTTGGTTTGCGAACGGCGAACGCGAACTTCCGCAAAAGTTCGCGAACGGGCGAACCTGGCGAACTGCGCTGGAGGCCCTAAATACTAAAAAGGGGGGGACCTAGGGTCCTCCCCCCTGGCCCCCACCCCTGAGCGGTGGGTGGGGGCCCTAAACACAAATTGGGGGGGACCTAATGTCCTCCCCCCGGCCCCCACCCCTGAGCGGTGGGTGGGGGCCCTAAACACAAATTGGGGGGGACCTAATGTCCTCCCCCCCTGGCCCCCACCCCTGAGTGGCGGATGGGTGCCCTAAACACAAATTGGGGGGGGGACCTAATGTCTTCCCCCCCTGGCCCCCACCCCTGAGTGGCGGGTGGGGGCCCCAAACACAAATTGGGGGGGACCTAATGTCCTCCCCCCCTGGCCCCTACCCCTGAGTGGCGGGTGGGGGCCCTAAACAAAAATAAGGGGGGGGGGACCTAATGTCCTCCCCCCCTGGCCCACACCCCTGAGCGGTGGGAGGGGGCCATAAACACAAATTGGGGGGGCCTAATGTCCTCCCCCCTGGCCCCCACCCCTGTGCGGCGGGTGGGGGCCCTAAACAAAAATAAAGGGGGGACCTAATGTCCTCCCCCCTGGCCCCCACCCCTGAGTGGCGGATGGGGACCCCCAAAAAATGCCCCTCCCCGGTGACTAGGGGTCCCCAAACCCCTAGTCACCCCCCCAAAAAAAAGTATCCCCCTAAGTACCCCCCTCACCCTAAAAATAATGAGGGGGGGACATTTAATTAAGTATCTGTAAAAAAAAAAAAAACATACCATTCAATGTTTTCTTTCTTCTAAAATCTTATTTTTTCAGCCCCAAAAAAGGCCAAATAAAAAACCATAATAACCGACGCAATTAAAAAAAAAGTCTCTTCATTTACCTGTCAGAGCACTCTGATTGGTTGGTTTGAAATCAGAGTGCTCTGAGCCTAATTGCAGGGTGGAGGAAGGCTTTATAAGGCTCAGTCTGCGCGGAGCCCTCCATGGGTGAAGATGGATTATTTTTTTTTGCACTTGTTTTTTTTTATTGCTTCGGTTATTATGGTTTTTTATTTGGCCTTTTTTGGGGCTGAAAAAATAAGATTTTAGAAGAAAGAAAACATTGAATGGTAAGTTTTTTTTTTACAGGTACTTAATTAAAGGTCCCCCCCTCATTATTTTTAGGGTGAGGGAGAGTAGGTAAGGGGATACTTTTTTTTGGGGGGTGGAGGGGGTGACTAGGGGTTTGGGGACCCCTAGTCATCTGGGGGGACATTTCTTTTAGGGCCCCCACCCGCTGCTCAGGAGTGGGGGCCAGGAGGGAGGACATTAGGCCCCCCCCTTATTTTTGTTTAGGGCCCCCACCCGCCGCTCAGGGGTGGGGGCCAGGGGGGGAGGACATTAGGTCCCCCCCCCCCCTATTTTTGTTTAGTGCCCCCACCCGCCGCTCAGGGGTGGGGGCCAGGGGGGTTAATGTTCAAATATCAAATTTATGCTGGGTCAGAATACAACAAGGATTGTTTTCGGCAATTGCCGTATTCTGACCCAGCTACCGAGCAACCGTGGAACGCACGCGAGAGGTGGCTTACCTCTCCGAACACAAGAACATCAGCTCACCGGCCAGAGCAAGCTTCCCTCAAAGTGCAAGTACATCTTCCGATTAGCTTTCCAAATAAGGACTCATTTGCTGGGACGTTTACACTTCTAAATTGTAAGTGTATTTTATCCGATTTTAACTACATTTTCAATAAATATGATATTTGAATATTAACCTTCTGGACTTTCTCCATATCACCATTGATCATTGAAGATCTTTACACTATATACCTGCATAGGTGGTATACTAGTTAGTGTCCATTTGTTGCAGTTATTCATTTTACCAGCATTGGTTAAAGCATATCTACAACTTGTTACTCTTTTTGCTACTGTCAGTCTATTTGGCAGAAGCATATGGTACAAGATTTAATATTGTTGCATTTAAAGACTCTACCTATTACAAGCATTTACTGGACATTATCTCACAGATTTATTTATTTATTTTGGACTATTTAACGGATTCAGATTAATTCTTTTATGCAAGTTTTTTGGAGCCATTCCCTAACTATCTGCATATTATATTGTATGTTACATATTTTTCCGCTGTTTAGTTTGCGAACCCTTAGTACTGCTAGCCTTCTGTGTTAGACTGCCATCTAGTGTATGTGTGCATAATCTATTCTGTATAATTCTAGGTTTACTATTTATAGCTATTATAGCACACATTTGAGATAATTTAGATCTCTCTAGTTCCTTCATTTGCACTCATTAGTAAGAGATCTCCTGGTACGTGTAGATTTTATATTTCTACTATTATTCACAAGTGTTTCAATATTTTATCAAAAACATTGGCTTCCAAAGAACAAGACAGATGTAAGCTCAGGCATCATGCATGATGTATTTGCATAAATTGTGTTACAAAATCAGTTTGAAAGAAATACACCCTGTTCAAAATTATTATGCAAATTATTTTTCTCATTTACCTAAATAATTGATGAATAAATAACAGTCAGCATAATTCTCATGTTATCAACTATTAAGAGTACAATTCAAATTTTATTGAACAAACCTCCTAATGATAACAGTATTTTTTTTAAACATAAAAACTTACAATGCACTGTTCCAAATTATTACGCACAGTAAGTTTCAAAACACTTTATAGGTTGTAAAGAACTGAAATTTGTCATTTGTTGTGTTTGCAGCATATTTACTGAAATCAAAAGCTATTTCAATCAAACTTATAACATTTTAACTTTTTAAACATTTTAACAGGTCACGTTACATTTTAACATAGGACCCCTTATTTGATAGCAGCTTCACAAGTCTTGCATCCATTGAACTTGTGAGTTTTTGAAAGTTTCTGCTTAAATTTGTTTGCAAGATGTCAGAATAGCCTACCAGAGCTGCTGTTTGGATGTAAACTGCCTCCCACCCTCATAGTTTTTTTGCTTGAGGATGCTCCAAAGGTTCTCAATTGGATTGAGGTGGAGGCCACACCATGACTTTCTCTCCTTTTATCCCCATAGCAGCCATTGATGCAGAGGTATTCTTTGCAGCATGAGATGGTGCATTGTCATGCATGAAGATGATTTTATTACGGAAAGCATAGTTCTTCCTTCTGTACCAGGGAACAAAGTTGTCAGTCAGAAACTCCACATACTTTGCAGAGGTCATCTTTACACCTTCGGGAAACCTAAAGGGGCCGACCAGCTCTCTTCCCATGATTCCGGCCCAAAACATGACTCCACCACCGCCTTGCTGACGTCGCAGCCTTGTTGGAACAGGGTGGCCATCCACCAACCATCCACTACTCCATCCATCTGGACCATCCACTCATCAGTGAACAGGACTGTTTGAAAATTAGTCTTCATGTATTTTTCTGCCCAATGCAGCCGTTTCTGCTTGTGAGCATTGGTTAGTGGTGGCCGAATAGAAGGTTTATCCACAGTTGCAAGACTCTGGAGGACTCTACACCTTGATGTCCGTGGGACTCCAGAGACACCAGCAGCTTCGAACATCTGTTTGCTGCTTTGTAATGGTATTTTAGCAGCTGCTCTCTTGATCCAATGCATGGATCTGGCAGAAATCTTCCTCTCTTAATAGTGTGATGATCTCGCTTAAGTTTTTGTGAAATATCTAATGTTTTCATAACTCATCCAAGGCATTGAACTATTTCACTCTTTTCAGCAGCAGAGAGATGCTTTTTCTTCCCCATATTGCATGAAAATGGTGCTCTGCTTAATAATGTGCAACACCCTCCTTTAGTAGTTTTTCCTTAAATTGGGCTCACCTGGCAATCTAATTATCACAGGTGTCCGAGATTGTTTTCAGTGATCAAAAGAGCCCCGAGACACAATGCCATCCATGAGTTAAACTGAAAAACAAAATATTTAATCTTTGTGACACATAGAATTTGCATAATAATTTGGAACAGGGTGTATATAATTGTTTAAAGGGAAACTCTACTCGCCGAAAATACAGCAATTTTTTAGCCAAAACTAAATTCTACCCTTTCCTTGGACCCCTGTAACCCCCTTTTAACCCATATAAACCAAATATCCCTTTTCTTACCTTATTTCCAGCGCCATGTCACACATCCAGCCTCCGACGTCTACTTATACTTATTGGGAAGCTTTGCAAAGTTAGAGCGCATGCGCATCCAGCGCAGCACCCCGCCTCTCACACGCTTCACATAGAGATTCATTGAATCTCTATGTGTAGCGTTAAAAATCACACCGCGCAAGCGCGTGGTGTGTGCATCATCGAGAGGCGAGCTGAGTAACATCTCAGCTTGAAACCCACTGACTGTCTGTATTTACTTTCTCCTCCCCCAACCTGCTACTCCTCCCCCAACTACAAATAAAAGTAACGTCCCATACCTAGTGCCACCAAGCCCTCACGTACCCACAGCCCAGTGAGCAGCTATTCAACAAAGTAAATATTTTTTATTATATTTATTTAATAATTATAAATCTATTTTAATCTGTATAAATGTATTCATATATTTATTTTTATATATATATATATATATATATATTCACACAACTGTCTCTCTATAGATATATATATATACACACACACACACAGAATTGTCTCTCTATCGATATAGATATATGTATATATAGAGACCGTTATATAAAACTCTTTCTCTATATATATATATTTATATCTATAGAGAGACAGTTGTATATGTGTGTAGAGAGAGAGAGAGAGAGAGAGATACATACATATATATATATATATATGTGTAGATTCCATGGCAATTGAGGAAGTTGTTTCACTTACTTGTATAGATGTGCACTTAATGATTTTCTGAGAACTTTCTTCCAAAAGTGAATAAGTGCAGTACTTTGCACTGAAATCAGGGCTATCACATTGCCCGTCTCCTGCAAGGCATAGATCTTTGTCCTTCAAACTCTCAATCATGAAACGTCTTTCCTTTGTGTAGTGATGACTGACTATGGGAAACATATTTTTTTCTATAAGTGTAATGAATTGATTCCGAAATTAATGCTATCCCAAAAATCTTAAAGAATTCAAACACTTTAGAGAACTTGCCAATAAATTGCCGCAAGAGCGGTTGCCAATCATTAGCTGGCTCCACCACAGTTCACACCGATGGTTAAGTTCACAGATTGTGTAAACAGTCAATAAAGTCCCTGCAATACTTTTTTCATTGCGAATGACGAGTGCATCGCATGTTGGCAAATATTTACAGGTTTTAAATTTTAGCAATAAGTCATCCAGACAGGACTCAGACACAATACATTCATAGACATAATCTTCAGGAGAGGGCTCTGTAATAAAAGATAGTTCTCCAATGTCTGTTGATACATCTTCTGGACTGAAAGCTGAAACCTGATGACCGCAGAAAAAAGCAGCAGGGAGAGCTGAGGCACCCTCAAGGCAAAACAACCGCAATGCAACCCAAGTGACTAGTTAATCGCCAAAATGGTCCAAGATCCAACCAAGGCCTCCGCAAGTAAAATCACCCACCCCCTGAGGAGAAAAGACTTGGCCTACTGCATCACCCAAGTTGTTGATACCATGATGTGAGCTCTACCATGGGTCTGGTCAGCAATGTATTTAGCGCAAGGCTGACATGGCATTTGCCTTGGGCGGCACTTTCAAGGGGGTGACAAAAAAAAAAAAAGACACCCCCACACGCCCTGGCAAATGCATTGCCAGACTCTTGCCCTGGGGAACCAGAGAGCTGGAGGCCTGATGTTGCGGGCAGAGAGGGAGCATTCTCCCCTGAGCTCTTCCTGCTCAGCTCCTTCACACGCACCTCAGTGATGCCGGGGACAGAATATAATGTCACTACGGCTCAGGCATCACTGAGAGACGGGTAAAGGAGCTGAGCGGAGGATCATAGCTCCTTGAGTGTGTGTCTGTTAGTGAGAGTGAATGTGTCTGTTAGAGTGTGTGTCTGATAGTGAGTGTGTGTGTGTGTGTCAGTCAAAGAGTGTGTGTGTCTCTCACTGAGATTGCATATGTGTTTGTCAGTGAGTGTGTATGTATGCGTGTGTCAGTGCATGAGTTTTGTCATGCCTAGGGCAGCACAAAATCAGAATACAGCACTGGGTATAGTACCAGAGTGCATAGCATAGTCAGTAAAAAAAGGGGGGACAATCATTTTTTAGATAAATGAGAAAAGAAAAGTAAAACAAGGATTAGTTAGATTAAAAAAAAAAGGAAGGTATGTAAAAGAGGATAAAGGTGAAGCTGACTGCCTCAATGAATATTTTTGTTCTTTATTTACAGATGAAAATGAAGGAAAGGGACCTCAGTTAAGAAAAGGGATAAATGAGTGATTTATCACACGTGCGTTTACAGAGGAAGAGGTTCTATTTCAACTGTCAAAAGTAAAGACAAATAAGTCAATGGGACCTGATGGAATACACCCAAAGCTATTAAAATAGCTTAGTGGTGTACTAGCAAAACCATTAACAGATTTATTTAACCAATCATTGTTAACAGGAGTAGTCCCAGAAGATTGAAGGTTAGCGAATGTTGCAACATGGGTTTACTTCAGGGAAATCATGCCAAACTAATCTTATTGATTTTTTTGGTTGAGTAACTAAAATTATAGATCAGGGTGGTGCAGTAGACATTGCTTACCTAGATTTTAGTAAGGCTTTAGACACTGTTGCACATAGAAGGCTTATCAATAAACTACAATCTTTAAGTTTGGATTCCAATATCGTTGAATGGGTAAGGCAGTGGCTGAGTGACAGGCAACAGAGGGTTGTAGTCAATGGAGTATATTCGAAGCTTGGGCTTGTCACCAGTGTGGTGCCTCAGGGATCTGTACTTGGACCCATTCTCTTTAATATTTTTATTAGTGATATTGCAGAAGGTCTTGATGGTAAGGTATGTCTTTTTGCTGATGATACTAAGATATATAACAGGGTTGATGTTCCAGGAGGGATAAGCCAAATGGCAAATGATTTAGGTAAAGTAGAAAAATGGTCAGAGTTGTGGCAACTGACATTAAATGTGGATAAGTGCAAGATAATGCATCTTGGATGTAAAAACCCAAGGGCAGAGTATAAAATATTTGATAGAGTCCTAACCTCAACATCTGAGGAAAGCGATTTAGATGTGATTATTTCTGATGACTTAAAGGTAGGCAGACAATGTAATAGAGCAGCAGGAAATGCTAGCAGAATGCTTGGTTGTATAGTGAGAGGTATTAGCAGTAGAAAGAGGGAAGTGCTCATGCCATTGTACAGAACACTGGTACAGAACACTGGCGATGCGGGACAGTTCATATCATGAGGCCATCCCGCTTGCAGAGTTTTGTGTGTCAGAAAGAAGGTAAAAGAGGAAGAGAAGCCAAAAGGGATGGAGACAAAAAAAGAGAAAAGACTAAGGGAAATGTAAGGCAGCAGAAGGTAGTAGAGAGCACAGAATAGTGTTGGAGTACTGGAGACCGTATCTTCAGAAGGATATTGATACCTTAGAGAGAGTTCAGAGAAGGGCTACTAAACTGGTTCATGGATTGCAAGATAAAACTTACCAGGAAAGGTTAAAGGATCTTAACATGAATAGCTTGGAGGAAAGACGAGACAGGGGGGATATGATAGAAACATTTAAATACATAAAGGGAATAAACATAGTAAAGGAGGAGACTATATTTAAAAGAAGAAAAACTACCACAACACGAGGATATAGTCTTAAATTAGAGGGACAAAGGTTTAAAAATAATATCAGGAAGTATTACTTTACTGAGAGGGTAGTGGATGCATGGAATAGCCTTCCAGCTGAAGTGGTAGAGGTTAACACAGTAAAGGAGTTTAAGCATGCATGCGATAGGCATAAGACTATCCTAACTATAAGATAAGGCCAGGGACTAATGAAAGTATTTAGAAAATTGGGCAGACTAGATGGGCCGAATGGTTCTTATCTGCCGTCACATTCTATGTTTCTATTATATTGTTATGAATACAATGTTGTATTTGTAACACTGTAGAACCTTTTAAAATAATATCTATTTTAATTACATAAAACAAGATATAATTATATATAGTTTGCCTACCGTGATTGAAAGCACACGTGTCAAATATAGAAAGTGATAAAGAAGATTCCCTGTAACTAAAACATTGCAAATATATGTTTAGAATAAATAAATATGCATTCTTGCAAAAAATTAGTTAAAGGACCACTATAGTGCCAGGAAAACATACTCGTTTTCATGGCACTATAGTGCCCTGAGGGTGCCCCCACCCTCAGGGACCCCCTCCCGCCCGGCTCTGGAAAGGGGAAACGGGGTTAAACTTACCTTTTTCCAGCGCTGGGCAGGGAGCTCTCCTCCTCCGATCCTCCTCCGTTCCTCCTCCTGGGCTGAATGCGCACGCGCGGCAAGAGCTGCGCGCGCATTCAGCCGGTCACATAGGAAAGCATTCATAATGTTTTCCTATGGACGCTTGCGTGCTCTCACTGTGAAAATCACAGTGAGAAGCACGCAAGCGCCTCTAGTGGCTGTCAATGAGACAGCCACTAGAGGATTAGGGGGGAAGGCTCAAAACAGTAAAATGTATTACAACGATGAGATCGCCAGTAAAAGTGAAGTTTTTTGCATTTTTCACGCACAAACAGCACTTACACGGACGATATTATTGCTGCGATACTTTTTACTGTTTTGAAACACAAATATTTGTATTCAGCGAAGTCTCCCGAGTACAACAGTACCCCTCATGTACAGGTTTTATGGTGTTTTCAAAAGTTACAGCGTCAAATATAAGGCTTGTGTTTCATTTTTTTCACATTAAAATTTGCCAGATTGGGTACGTTGCCTTTGAGACCCTATGGTAGCCCAAGAATGAAAATTACCCTATGATTGCATACCATTTGCAATAGTAGACAACCCAAGGTATTGCAAACGGGGTATGTCCAGTCTTTTTTAGTAGCCACTTAGTCACAAACACTGGCCAAAATTGGCGTTTTTTGCATTTTTCACACACAAACAAATACTAACGCTAATTTTGGCCAGTGTTTGTGACCAAATGGCTACTAAAAAAGACTGGACATACCCCATTTGCAATACCTTGGGTTGTCTACTATTGCAAATGGTATGCCATTATGGGTGTAAATTTCATTCCTGGGCTACTATAAAGTCCCAAAGGCAACGTAACCAATCTGGCGAATTTCTATTTCAAATGTAACGTGCTATATTTGACCCTGTAACTTCCCAAAACACCATAAAACCTGTACATAGGGGGTGCTGTTTTACACATGAGACTTTGCTGAATACAAATATGTGTATTTTACTGCAGTAAAAGCAAACAGTAGTATGACATTGACAGTTAAAATGTCATGTAGAACTAAAAAAAATCAAAAAAAAAATCTTATTTTCTCCCATTTTTTTCATATTAAATTATGTTTCATAGCTAAATATTTGATATTAAATGAAAGCTCTGTTTCCCCTGAATAAAATGATATATAATAAGGGTGGGTGCATTTACTATGAAAGAGGTGAATTACGGTTTGACAGACATGTAGCGCAAATGCCAGGTTTTGTTTACATTTTGTTTTGCTCACAACGTGTACATTTGGCTCCGTCCTTAAGGGGTTAAATCACGTTGTTTCTGTTTATGCAGCCCTAGCCACACACCCCCGGCTATGATTGACAGAGCCTGCGTGAAAAAAAACTGGTTTCACTTTCAAACAGATGTAATTTACCTTAAATAATTGTATCTCAATCTCTAAATTGAACTTTAATCACATACAGGAGGCTCTTGCAGGGTCTAGCAAGCTATTAACAAAGCAGGGGATAAGAAAATTTTAATTAAACAGAACTTACAATAAAGAAACCTTAATAGGGCTCTCTTTATAGGAAGTATTTATGGAAGGCTGTGCAAGTCACATGCAGGGAGGTGTGACTAGGGCTCATAAACAAAGGGATTTAACTCCTAAATGGCAGAGGATTGAGCAGTGAGGCTGCAGAGGCATGTTCTATACACCAAAACTGCTTCATTAAGCTAAAATTGTCCAGGTGACTATAGTGTCCCTTGAATTAAAATATTAAAAGAGGGGAAAAAATAAGCTAAAACACAAGAAAGGGATACCAATTAAATATATGATACATAAAAGGTTTATAATTTAAAAAAGAATAATATTAATATAATAAATAAATAACAAATTAATAAAATATTAGAATGCAAAAGATGACTATACATAATAATAGTCAATAGTAATAATGTAAAATATCTTAAAAATTAATACAAGTAATAATTATATAAATATATATACAGTTCGTAATGGTTAAAATTGTTAAATTAAATTATAAAAATTATTATATATTCATTAACTTGTAAAAAAAAGTTATAGACATTCAATAATAAGAAAAAAGGGTA